TTTTCATATATTGTGTGTCGCCTTTAGCAACATGTATTTTTTCTAGAAGGGAGAGCATAAATTTCTCCTTCTCTCTCTCTCTAAACTTTATACAGCAATTAAACAAAAGGGTGAAAGCATTTCCACAATAGGGCACATCTACATCTACTGCACAGCAGTTTATCTACTGGGGTTATAAAAATGTTGGGGGTGGGGGCTCTAATTATCCCATGCTCTTTCATAGATTTCTTTATATCAGCGTGACAGATGAACTCATGTTTTGTTTTATTCCCACAGAGACTAGCTTAGACACGTTTAAGACCAGCTCCCAAAATCTGAAACTTGTATAAAATGAGCAGCTTTAGAGGAAGCCGCAGCTTTGTGTCACACTGTCAGCTTACTTGTAGTGCAAAATCCTGTTAATGTGACACAAACATCACTTTGCACACTCCTGCAATGCACTGCATGCCCACAGGATGGAGAGATATGAAGTAAAGGGACAGGTGAAATAAATGCCTCATATTTGAGCTGCTTTTCTAGAACTCAGTAAAAGACAACAAAACAAAGAGGACAAATGAAGGTATAGTTTTCTTGAGGTTCTAGTGATACTTTAAAAACCCTTTTGTTCATGATGAAGCAGACTTGTTTCTCTTCAGAGTGCAGATTCCAAATGTTGATACTCATAAAGTTGTTGGTAATGATTCACCACTGTCTCGAGTGTGGATTTACTCCCACAGAGTGTCAGCATGTCTGAGTATATCTTTAGGGCACGCAAAAGATGTTTAATCTTCAGTTCGTGTTTGGCCAGTGTCCTTAGTAGAGCTGTAAAACCAATTATACCTTATTGTAACTGCTGTGAGAGGTTAGATTAAAGCATTAAATCAAGTCATGCAGACGTATCGTTGTTATTTAGGTTTGAAAGTTCTCCAAACTCAGACCTTGGCAGAAAAAAAATAACTCAGAGAGACTCTACAAATCAGAGTTGAAAAATCAAACATATTAACACATGCAGGGTGTGTTGCAAACACACTGATGACTGGTGTGTTTGCTCAGCCAGAGTCAGAGCAGCTGCAGCTGTGTGCTGTAAACAAATCAGTAAGCAAATATATGGGCCAAATTAAAAAGAAAACTGTGACACAAGTGTGTGTGTGTGTGTGTGTGTGTGTGTGTGTGTGTGTGTGTGTGTGTGTGTGTGTGTGTGTGTGTGTGTGTTGAAATGGCTCATTTTACTGTCAGTTACCACCACTGATGCATTAGAAGCTGAAAAAATCGGTTCACATTGGTACAGCTAAAAATAGCTCCTGGATACTGCAGCGTATTATCATTATTAGCGGTAAAATTTGATTAAATTTACAAGCCACTAAAATGTTTTAGTGATAAGTAGTTTTTTATCTGGGAGATTACAATTTTATAAACCATATTTTTATTATGTAAAGCATTTTATATTTTTATACATTAAACTGTCCAGCAGTGTACAGCAGTTCAGCTTAGCTACAACAACACAGCTCCTAAAGTTAATTAGTAATCCAACACTGTGTGTAATAACGATGCTAAAACTATTACTTTTATACTTTTATATATTTTTTTAATTTGTAATACAGCCAAAACTTTTCTAAAGAAAAAAATTAATGTGGAAGTTTTATGTTAGTTTATGTTACAGAAAGGTTTTATTTATGTATTTTTTACCGTAATATTACTATATTAATTTGAGGTAAGGCGCCAATATTTAATGGGCACTATGTAGCCAGATTTGTTTTTTGTTTTTTTTATTTAGCAATTACAAATATGTCTACAGATATGTAGACACGGATATGTCTAAGTCATTATTGAAAGCGTAGCGCTTTACTGAAAAAATGTGACAAATAGCTGCTATTGGCAGATACATAACTGTGTTCAATTAAATTCTGCTGAAGTGGAACCAAAACAACAAGAATAAAACAAACCGTTTCGGTACCAATACTTTCAATAATAAAAACATCGAGTCTTAAAATTTGATTTTGTAGTTTGTAACATTAGATCGACTCTTAAGTGAGAAACCAGAATGCGCATTGGTTTGTCAGGCCCAGGGTAAGACCTGGAACACTTAGTTAACGCAGTAGTATGAAATAACCTTAGTTAACCAGTTGTACTACCAGACATACTACTTTCTATTTTCATATAAAAATATTTCTATAATAGACAAATAACGGAAATGTTTTCGTTTTATTTTATTCTATTAATAGTTAAAGCTGAATAAATGAATGTTTTTAAGATTTTTATCATTTGAGTGCTCTTATTTATTCTGTTGTGTTTTTCCCCAAGTTATTATTATTATTATTATTATTATTATTATTATTATTATTATTATTATTATTATTATTATTATTATTATTATTATTATTATTATTATTATTATTATTATTATTGTTGTTGTTGTTGTTGTTGTTGTTGTTGTTTATTCACTTCCTCGTGACCTTGCAGATAGTTGTGTTTACCTGCTAGACGCCTCTCTGTCTCCCTTTTATTTGCCTCCATCAGTCTCTGTCCTGCGGGCCGGCAGCACTTCAGGGCGCAGAGCTTATCAGCTTTCTGTGTTTACCTCTCAATTAATCCCCATTAGTACGGGAGAAGGCATTAAGGCCGCTCTGGTGGCCTCTAATGTTGTTTTGTCCCAAACAGGAGATGGGCTGGTTAACAGCTTAGACGGACAGATCTCAATCTGAGCACAAAGCCGGACAGTCTAGCAGGGAAGAAGCGTGAGAGACGCACCGATCACCAACAACGATAATTATACTGATATTGGCTGTGTCTGTTCTTATTAACGCAGCAGTTACTTTAGGACAGTTATACAGATTTTAATTAAATTCAGTGACGCAGTGTGTGTGTGTGTGTGTGTGTGTGTGTGTGTGTGTGTGTGTGTGTGTGTGTGTGTGTGTGTGTGTGTGTCCGCGCGCGGACATAAAGTACGCTCAACTTATTTCGAAATTTAGATATTACTGACTCACTGAACCCGTGCCCCAGGGCAGCTGTGGCTACAACTGTAGCTTGCCTCCACCAGTGTATGAATGTGAGAGTGAATGAATAGTGGTATTGTAAAGCGCTTTGGGTGCCTTGCAAAGCGCTATATAAATCCAATCCATTATTATTATTATTTCACACAGTAACGCACAAGTGAGGTTTCGGTGTGAGACGCTCTAGTAAACGTAGCTCCCGGTGTTTGCTCTCAATGTTGGCTACGGTCTCCCATTAGGACACGAGTGTGTGGGTGTAATTACACAAGAATGGGTTTGGGAAACAATTGTTCTCAGGCCGGAGGAACAATTACTCGCAGGGGAAAAACAGCAATTGATGCTTTCCCTCCCTAATTTTCTCATAACTTCCCTCATCATTTATCTTCTTAAGAATTATTTTAGCAAATAGCTGGACAGATTTTTCGTCCCATAAACGACAAAACACAGGTTTGAGACGAGCTTGGTCCTCAAATTATGCCCAGTGCCTGTTTTTGGTCCTCACTTGTGCGTAACGCTCGATTAAGAGCCAGCGAAAAGGAATTCTTCTCACCAAATCACCAACCAGCCAAACTGTCAATGTTGTTATTTTGGTACACCTCTGAATATCAGCTTATAGTTGTTCTTATAAAATATCAGAAATTGGTGAACTGAAATGAATCTACAAAACTTTTCGGAATCTTAGGGGGCATCTTCGCTATTTGAGTATTTTCCGCTTTATTTGTATTGTGTTTTAGAATTTTTACATTTACTACGTAGGAAGAAACAACTGATTATCAAATATGAGAAATTTGGGTTGGAAAATATTCCCAAACTGCTGTCCATTCATTTTAAGTCAGTAACCTTTTTTGACACTGGACTAAACTCTGACCAATCGAAAATAAAACAATAAAACAATAAAATAAAATAAAAAAATACTTTTGTAGCTTTATTTCATAGTTGAATCAACAACGGACCATTCCAGGGAAATATTCTGATTTTGTACCCTTCGAAATAAGAACCTTGGATCCTTGGCCTGCGCGAAAAATATTAAAATATCCATGTGTCAACTTTTCTTTCACTAATGCGCAAAGGTCTTCTGAAATCTATTGAATGTGATTTATTTCTGTGATATTGTATAATTACTTGTGTTAATAGATCCATAAATATATGTATTCAGAAGATTTTTCTTTCTGAGTTTGGACTGTTACCTGTGAGAATGAGCTGAAATAACACCCTCATACTGAAATAATAGGCTGCACTGCAGCCTCACCGGGCTCACCCCCTTAAAATTCTCCAGTCCATTTTCCTCCTCGGGATAAATGGTGAAACTTGTAGCAATAATACCCTCTTCTTTCACACAAACGCCTCCCCGCTGCCATCACCTCGAGCCCGGCTGCCCCCGAAGCCTCACGGCTGGGGATCTCGGAGAGCCTTTCTCCACGAACAAAAAAAGCCTCCTGAAGGGGAACAAAAGTGACCACATTTTTCCTCCATGTCCCCTTCTCCGCGCAGAATAACCCGCTGCCTGTCGCTCAAATGGGAATATTAGGACGTCAATCTCACGGCCCCTGTGCGCTTTTGTCTTTGCTGAGTGCCAAGCTCTGCCTACCACACACCTTTTGTCCGACAATCCAATAAGAGCCATTATTCTCGCTCCCTAGCCCGGCTGCAGCTCGCTCTTCGGGTATTTTAGGTGCTTAATCGCGTCCTTTTAAGGACCTCAAATGGAGAATAACTTCCTCCTTTCACGTCGCCTTGCACCGGGACAAAGAGTTCCTGTGTCCTAGCTTCTACCAGGACCTGTGTTTATGAGCAAAATCTGCCACCACGAATCAGATTCACTAATATTCACCATCTGATTCACTGTTACACCGTATGGAGGCAAATATATACAATCAACAATATTTCTTTGCAAATTTAGGGGAAGATAGGATTTCATTTTCTTCTCTGTGATGTATTTTGGTATTATAATAATCGTTCTTTCTCAAATTTAGCACATACAATAAGATTATTATGCTTCTGTGCGGATACAGAATCAAAACGCACTTTCTTTAATCTCTTGGGTTTATTTGTATAGATGTGAAATAGACTAAAACAATTCTCTGTTGAACAAAAAAAACATTTTAAAGCAGTTCAGTCTCTCCATAACCTAAAAATATAAACGACAAAAACAATCGTTAAAAAACAGTCTTTTTCAGTTCAATTAAGGAGAAATGCGCAAACTTGTGCGTAACTTCCCCTCTGTGCTTCAGTGCCGAACTAGAGCACCAACAAATATTGGACCACAGAAAAAAAATTCACCCAAGCCAGTTCTGTTCAGAAATTCGACAACCAGCAAATTACGGAAACTAATTTTCTCTATAATTCTCCAAATATCCGGAAAAGTGAATCCAAACGCGCATCCGTTATAAGCAATACTGTATTCTGGCTGTATTTTGACCAGGTTAATACACACTTCTAAAGGAAAGAATGTGGGTTGAAAAACTCCGTTTAAAAAAAAGATACTGGTTCTGTTATGGTGAGGCTACCAGGCCCTGATCCCCTGCAGCGAGCCCTGACAAGATGTGACCGCTGTCCCTTGGTGTGTTTGAGCCTGTGGGGAGCTGCCGAGGCCGCTCACGTTTCCCAAGTTCATGTTCATGAAGGCGTTGGGGGTGCCGGAGGGAGGAAGGGCGGGGATACTGGTGTAGGTGCAGCTGTAGTTGGTGTTATACGCCGGGCTGTTGTACGTGTAGGCCGGGTATCCGTTATAGCCGTACGGATTGGATCCGTACGGAGCAGTAGCCGCGGCGGCATAGCTCTGCGCTCCTCCCAGACATGGCTTCCCATCCCGAACCAGCACCGGCACGGCCACGCGCCTCGGCGGCGGAGGATGATGCTGTCCCGTCGCTTCCAGAGACTTGTCTTGCCGCTGCCGTTTGCACTTGTAGCGGCGGTTCTGAAACCAGATCTTCACCTGGTTAGAAGTGAGTTTGAGGGTGGTCGCCAGGTGCTCTCGCTCCGGGGCGGACAGGTAGCGCTGCTGCTTGAAGCGCCTCTCCAGCTCGAAGACCTGCGCCTGGGAGAAAAGCACTCTGGGTCTCCGCCGGCTCCTCTGTTTCTGCACCGGCCTCTCCGTGTCGCCCTGTCCGCCCTCGGCTGCTTCCTCCCGGGACACCAGCCCGCAGTTTTCTGGGCAGGTTGGGAAATTCACAGAAGTATGAAGTTAATATCTCTTTAAGAAAACACGGTAATCATGTCTCCCAATTGTGGCATTTGTTTTAATCCTCACTCAATAAAGTATTGAACTGAAGCCACAGGCCCGTCAGTACCTGTCAGCTTCACGAGAACCTGTCACCGCAGAGACAACACTCCACTGCAGCTCAAGCTTTTAGCCAGGGCGCACAATTCAAAGATAAAACACGCAACGCCGGAATGGACTAATTATAGTTGGTTTATTTATTCATTTATTTTTAACACTTCTGAACTTAGAAGGATGCAAGTCACCTACCTGCTAATTCTGTCAACAGTTTATGTCTGATGAATAATTGTGTGAACTCTGTAGAGAGGAGCCGAAGTCGCCGTGTCCGCCTGTGTTTATTAGCGCTACTTGTCGGTGTCACTTCTTTTACAAGCCTCTTTAAACTAATTGTCGGTTTATGGTCCAGACAGCATAACAGACTCCAAATAACAGGCAAGCGACTGAACCACTAGAAAGTGTTTGACATCTCCAGACTTTACTGGATTCGTCTCAGGGCTTCTGACTTCCACCATTTGGAAGCTCTTTATTGGAATAATGCCCGGCGTGTGTGCAGACGGAAGAGCCGGGCAGAGACAAGAGGCCCCAGAAAGCCGCGTAACCCAAATTATGTTCCACGTATTTTATTAAGTATTTTTTGCACGTATTATCTTTTGATTTTTCCGCCGGGTGTCATCTTTAAGGTCACGCGTATATTATTTAGAACATTTCACAAACTATGTTATGTTTTCTCACGTGGCTCACATTAAATTTAAAGTCTCTTGGTATTAAATTTGATAATGAGCCATACAACTGTGACCAGATCAGTTACAAAGAAAGTGCTGTGTGAAAGTTGATGTTAACATTAGAGGCATTTTTACTATTTGCTGTTTGGTTGGGTTACAGGTCACTGAGTTTGTGGTAAACATGTAAAGCATTCTGCGGGCACTGAAAATTTGACATATTAAAGGTTTAATCCGCTTTGCTCTTTCGTCCTTTATACTGTGAATATTTCTGTTTTTTTTTAAAGGCCTGTTGAAATTTTTTAAAATACTTTTACGCGCGTCTTTTGCCTTTTCGTGCAGTTTTTACAACAGCAGCTCGAGTTTGTACTCACTGCTTTCCTGCTCCTCCAGCTCGGCGGCCTCCAACTTGGCTCCCTGCAAGCCGGGATGCACGTACATGTCCGGAGATAGGCTGGTGTCCCCCCGTTCTTCCTCCCGCACTGCAAGCGCGCTGAGGTAAGCCAGGTTGTCTTCTCCGTCCGAGAAGGAAGGGCTGTCCCGGGCTCCGGCAAGCATGCAGGACGGCGCGGTTTGGAAATGCTGCTGCTGCTGGGGAGGAGAGCGGGACAAGTGCTGCTGGGTATGGATTCGGTGCGTGAGCTCCAGGGTTCCGGACTGCTGCTGTTGCTGTTGTTGTTGCTGCTGCTCCAGCTTCAGGATATCCTTGACAGAAAACGGCGTGGAGGTGAGCGGGCTCTGCAGCATCATGTCATCCAGCTCCTGCTCTGCAGCATCGAGGAAATGAAGCCCTCCGAGTAACATGCACTCCCCTTCGCCTTTTCCCACTTTTTTCTCTAGCAAATAATTGAGCGTAAAAGCCCCTTGTTTGGCAATCGGAGGTGCGTTAAGCCTCTGAAATCCCTCATCGCCATAAATCGCACGAAAACACGGGTATTAGTCCGGGGTTTGTCCATGCAAATGTCTTGCCTGACAGATATAATATCGGGCTTTGTGAGTGAAGTTTGGACCGGGGAGGGGAAGGAGCACCTCTGCCTCTTCTGGTATCAGGGGGAGGGGTGTGTGTGAAATGGAAAGTCCGTGAAGGCTGGAAGAGAAACGTTTGGGAATTAGAGAGAGAGGAGGGAGGGGCATAGGTGACGCGTTTGCACGGACCGGTTATGTATTTTGAACGCGGTGAACTAAGAATTGTACTGACAATACTCGTCCACTGCCCGGTTCCTTCATGTTTCTGTACATCTTGGGGACAGTCCCAACAGGACTTAAAATCTGGTACTTTCCACCAATTGCTCTATAGAGCTGAAGAGGCTTCTTGGATGAGAGATGAAACGTAGTCAAGAAACTTAAAGAAGTCCAGACGCTTTGTTTTTCCAAGCTCCTTAGATTGTACTTAAATTAGTTTCCCCACTTTTTACGCACTCATTTAGCTCCAAGAAGCACAGAAACAGCCCTGCAAATAGCTGGCCCTATACGTTTATTATTATATTTGAATCTAATGTACAGAGTTATTTTTAAATTATTATTGTTATTTTACACTGGTTATAACCCCGGGGTCCTTGTAGTTTTGTGTGGCCCTTGGTTTTTGTGCCAATCCGTGTGCTCTTTTCAGAGGCTAACAGTTCGTGTCGGCGGTGATACGTCAAGGTCAGGTTAAGAGTTCCTGCCTTGTAGATGAAGTGTAACTGAGTTGACTAATAGTAGAAGTTTCTCTGAAAATCATTACCCAAAATAATAAACGACAATTTTTAGCGCCAGGAGACATTTTCACAGCCAAAATGTGGAACAAAGGTGGCTTTAAAATTGGCTTTTTTTTTTGGCTTAAAAGTGGTCAAAAACAGCAGCCAGAAATAAAATATATATATGATGGAACACATAATGGTCAATATGTACAAACGTGTACTGTTTTTATTCTTTGAGACATTGACTGCGTTCAGTAAAGGCCGCTCGCTTCCGTCTCACAAAGCTCCAGATTTTCAAACCTTTACTCTGTTTTTTTTAGAGAAGCTGGACTGCACATCAGGGACGTGCGTAAAATACTCCAGAAAACTTCCCCGTTTCATGTAACAGCAGAGCAATAAAAGTGTCTGATGGCGCTTTAAACCTGCCACTCACTGCAGCTCCACTGAGGCGCAGATCCCCGCTGTTTACTGCACAACAAGGAGCTGCTATCATTTCTGTTCACTCTCAGAACTCTCAGCAGACTGTTGTGATGCCCGGTCTCTCTGCGCCTCTGCAGCCTCGTCTTCCAGCAGCTCTGCTCGGTGTCCCTCTGTCCTCTTTATCGCTGCTGTTGTATTAATAACCGCTCTGGGCCGATAAGCAGCCTCCCCGGGGCAATTAAAATTCCTCCAAGAAAACTGACTGACGTTTTTAGCCCGGCCTAATCTGCTCCTATCAGCTCCCCTTTCCGTTTTGCAGTGGGACCCCTCGCCTCATTCACCCCTCTCCCTCTGGTCCTCCTGCGAGTTTTTCCTCTCTGGACACATGGCAGGTGGACGGCGCCTGGTAGCTGGACTCTTCACAAACAGCTGCGATATTAGAATTACTAAATCAGTGGCAATGCTTCTTTATTGAACCTGCCAACGTGCAGCATCAAAAATTATAGTTTCAAAGGATTCAAAATATCTACGTGACTCATTTTATTCAAGTAACTTTTTAAGACAGTTTTCAGCTGCATGTGTTGTTTCATGCACACACACAGTGGTATTCACTGTGGTATTCACAGTGAATACCACAGAAAAAGGTTGTTTGTAGTTCATTCTAATGGGAAAGCTTATTCTTCTTTGGAATCAGTAACGTGGAAGTTTGGAGTATGCCTGGGACAATCTGTCGGTCCAAAATGTAATCACACAGTTGAACACTGTGTCCTGGTGAAGTGGAGCTTTCACTGTTGGTTCTTACAATCTGGGAAATAAAATTAATTTGGTGAAGACAATAATATATGTCCTTTTACTGGACTATTACGATACATCATAAGGACAAAGTCTAAACTCAGACATCACAAATTGATGACTAAACACAAAAATAAAAAAAATAAAAAAAAATAATTTCGGGCTCACATGTCTGTGTGTTTGTGTTGTGTGGACACTTCTGATCATCCATGTACACAAAAAGTGGGCAATTAATTTTCCCAAAGGGCCACATGAGTGACTGGGACTGCTGCAGAGGGTTGAACTCACTTTTATTTTTGACCTTACCTCTAGTGTGGCCCTCTTGGGGAAAATGAATGGTTCACTCCTGTAGACATACAGTAATTTTTGTCTATGTATTAACTTGCTTTATATGTGAAATGGGATTTAAATTTGGTAAACTATATGAAAAGAAGTTGCACAACCACTCCGATATTTCCGATAAGTGTTGCAATCAAGAGCAAATTTATTAGAAAAGCTTTTTTCTAAACTCTAACATTTATCTCTCAGTTTTTTATTATCCCGTGTGGGCAAAACACACTGAGAGAAAGGGACATAAACAAATGTCCCAGGAGCAAAGTTTCCCTTCAGTTTCTGTTGTCTTCCTTCTGCAAAGACACTGAATAACACAATCCTGTTTTTCATATGTACTTTACAACAATTCAGAATGCATTTGTAGACTTTTATTAAGCTTTCTATGAGTCTTTACAGAACAAAGTGTAACATATCAAAAACTGCACAATCAAGATCTGAGAGGACTCCATCGATGAGCCTTATGGTCCCCGCGGGGGCCCCAAACATATGTTTTCACTATTTCTCTCTTACAGCAATGTAAGTATTTATTTATTTAAGTATTAGGATCAAAATTTGCAAATTTGTCTGAGATGTAAAAAAAAGAAAAACGTTGCTGTATTGCAGTTTATTTTATTATGTGAAATATACCTGCTGCTGTGCACATTGTCATAATTTCATAAGGTGAATAAGGTAAATGTAACACCAAACTAAACTAAATTAACAATGATCTTGTTTATGGCCACACACAGACCTGTGCTGCCTGTGTGTAACCCAGCAGATAGTAAATATCCTGCGGTGCAGCTCTATCTATGGAGCTAGAAACAGACAGATGTATGTGTGAATGTCCGTGTAGACACATCGGCAACTTTCTCTATTTCACTCTATGTCATCATCGAGCGCGTCCTCATAAAAAAGGGCCAAACAAAGCAGGATGGTGTTTAGACTGGCACGCGGCCGCCTCCATTTACTTTAAATAAGCATTAAATCCAAAGACGCCAGGCTGAGCACTCGGTTTCAGTGTAGCCAGAGCTCTAAAGTAGCTATTGGAAAGAAAATAAAACTTGTTCAAGTTAAGCGACTCGGGACATTTGGTTTTGGTTGGGAGGGCAAGCATTTTGAGAATGTGGTGCTCTTGGTGTTCTCAAAGGGTCTTCAGAGTGAGGAATTCTTTAACCGTGAACTATGCATGATCTCATTTTAGATTTAAAACTTGAAGCTGACTCTGTGGAACCACACTAAAGAAAGAAGAATCTAATGAAGCAAACAGGCTACATATTCAATCGCTCATAATCCAAATATCCATCACATTCAGTGTATAGTGCCACAGTTTCATGGCTGTTACCAGTTCCCACCCAACATAAAATGAATATCCTTTACTTTTTAAAAACAATTTCATGCCCCTGAGCATAAAAACAGTCTGATTGAAATGTTGCTCTTATTCAAATGAATCTACATCTGCACCGTGGAGATCACAGAGAGGCATGAGCTTTTTCGACTCTTTGAGCTTGTTGTTTTGCCAAGTAGCTGTTTTTAGGATACTAGCTGCTGCACACCATCTGCCCACTTAAACACGTTAAACGTTCTTGTCAGAAGCTGTGCAAGTGTTGGGAATTCTTCACTGTGCGTGTGGGTGTGTGTGAATTTTAGGGATCCTACATGTCCTCTGAGGTTTTGCAGTAAAGCTGGAGGAACGCCGCGAGTTCAGCTCTACAAACAGCAGCAACTCATTTTACTGTATCATGTCCATCTGGAGGGAGGAGGCTGTTGTGTTTGTGGTGCTGACAGACGTGGAAGGGAGACTGTGACCTTTCCGGGAGCTTCTGATTGGACTTTTATCTTTCACACAAACAGAGATAAGTCAGTTAGAATGTGGGTGAGTGAAGCTTATCAGAAGTTTGATGGGTTAAATTACTCGAATGTATTACTTTGCCTCTGTTTACTGAAAAAAACAAAATCATGTTTTCTTTGAAGATACTGATGGACTACTTGGTCATTTTGTTACTAGATCCTTCTCGATCTCTGCTCCAAGAGCTCATGCACTTGGTCACAGTCTTTTACGCTACTTGTACAAATTATACTTATAAGGCAATTTGTGTCTCCTTTCTTTTAAAATACCCTGTCAGCTATCACCACTTACAAAGCTACTAACAACATATTTTGCTTTGCGTTTCCTTGAAAATTGTAACTTGTTACGTCCCTGTTCTCCTGCAATTATGTTCTAAGTATGATTAGATACTAGAAACTAAATACTTAAATTTGAACATTTTCAGGGTGACATTTTGGAAAACAAACAGCAGAATATCCACAAAATCTGATGATGATCATGATTTTTTTAAATTGTTTTTATCATTCTAGCACCAAGGTCAAAGTTTAACTTATATTTTTCAGTTATAAGCCTATTTTATTTAATATTGTTACAGAACTCATAGTCACTTCAGGGAATTTGGGTTTGTTTGTTTTTTTTTCTTTCCTTTTTTGTTTGAAGCCATAACTTTACAACTGGGACGTTAGTGAATTTAGTGAAATTTCTTCCCCCCCCCCCCCCCAACCCCACCCCTCTGTATTATGAATGTAACAATAGGAAATGCTACACCTCTTGTCTTCTGTCTGTTTGCGGCCCTGCAGAGGCGCCAGGCGGCTCTGGATGGTTGGATGGAGAGAGAGAGAAGTGAGGGAGATAATCACCGCTTCAGAGCCATGCATTTGTGTGCTGTGTGTATGTGCGTGATAGAGAGCGAGCGCGTGTGTGCGTGCAATGTGTGTTTGGATGTAAAGGACAGCTCAGATAGTTGTCAGAAGGTTAAATGTGATGAAGGAGGGTCAGTCAGCTCCAGAAACAAA